CCTGCTGGTGGCATCATCTTTGTGTAATCTCATAGGACTATTAGGGAGACAGCATTTAGGAGGCAGTCAGAGATACTACAATGGCTTCTTGAAATGGAGGACTCTGTTTCCCATACTGGTAATTCTTTCAAGTTTAGATTTTTTTCCTTGGAGAGACTGGAGAAAGATCAACAGCTCTGTTTCTTTTATCTGGTTTTCTTCGTGCATGCATCTAGATTAACTTATCTAAAGAGCAAACACAGTAAAGGCTAGACTAACTTTATTTTATTCTTAATGTATATTACTTTTAAAAGTACTCTTACAATTGAGTAGAATAATTTGAGGTTAAGGAATTTGCCTTACAGATGCTCTAATAGATATTACAACCTATTATTTACAACATATAATAACTAAAGTGTTAAAATAGTGATATAAAAACTGACTGGTCAATAAAAATTAGTAAATCTAAGAACTTCACATAAATACTTCCATGGGATTCAACAAATGATTCATTTGTTGTTCATTCAATGAATGATGTTAGAAAAACTAGGGAAAAAATCCAGTTAAACCTTTCCATAATAGCACACATCAGTACAAAACTTCAAATACATTACAGAGTTAAAATTTTTTTAACTTTAAAAATTATTAAAAAAAACAGTGAATAGTTAAAATAATCTTAGAAGGGGACAAGATATTTTGTGTTTAAAGGCAGGAGGAAAATAAAGGAAAAGATACAAAGACTACATGAAAATTCATACTACAACATATAGAAATTATGAACAAATTTGAAAGACGAAAAAAAGCAGAAGATAATATTTGCAATCACTTATGCAGCATTCTGGCCAGGAATGTGTAACCTGAATCTCAGTACATCACAAAAGCCACAAATGGAAAACATTCTATTTTTTATAAAGGGGGAACTGTTTTCTTAAAAAATGTCAACGTCATAAAAAATGATGACATGTCTAGGTATATATATCCAAAAGAAAATTGAAAGCATGGTTTCAAATAGATATTTGTACACCTATATTCATAATGGCATTATTTAACAATAGCCAAAAGGTGGAAACAACCCAAAAGTCCATCAATGAATGAACAGATAAACAAGATGTATATACATACAATGTAATACTATTTGGCCTTAAAAAGAGAAGGAAATTCTGACACACGCTAAAACATGGATGAACACTGAAGACACTATGCTAAGTGAAATAAACCAGTCACAGAAAGACAAATACTGTATGATTCTACTTATATGAGGTATCTAGAGTTGTCAAACTCATAGAAACAGAAAGCAGAATGGTAGCTGAGAGGAGGGGTAAATGGGGAGCTGTAGAATTGCAGTTTCGCCAGATGAAAAAGTTCTGGAGATTGGTTGTACAACAATGTGTGGCAGGGGAGACAAGTTAAAAACAAGATATGATTCAACGGGATAAGTTCCATAACAAAAGCATACACAGAGTGTTATGGGAGCACAGAAGAGAGATTATCTAACTCTGATTGACAGAGAGATAAGTAAAGCCAGAGATAATTTGGAATTATGAACAGCTTTGAAAGAGTAGTTTAGGTAAATATGGGAGAGCGAACATATACACTGACTTTTGCTTCCTCTTCAAAACCCACTAAAATAATATTAAAACTTTTAAAAAAAGATATAAACCTGAAAGGACAAAGAAATCAGAAAAGATGACAACAACATAACTTTGGAAAATGGAAAACAGATGTACAAGTAATAACAGACTTAGCTAATGCAAAAAGGCAGATTCCTAACTCAAGTAATAAAAGTGACTTTTAAGTTTACCCTATAGAACCTCCAAAATGGCTCATGAATTAGCTACACCTCTGTAGTAAATTTGTAAGTTGTTAAGATAGGGCTGAAACCTAGAGAATAGGATGAAAGTTTAATTTAGAAGTAAATTATATGCCCAAATCGCCTTTGCTTCTCCATACAACCAAAAGACTGCTTTATCCCCTCGTCTGGGAAGAAGACCAGTAGTAGTAGTTGTTGTTGTTGTTGTTTTAATGAAGAGGGACTTTTAGAGCATCTCTGGATTGGGAGACACTCAGCACAGGTGAGGGTGGGGAACCAGACTGAAAGGAGGAAGATCCAGTACACAGAATACTGGCAGTCTACATATCCAAGTGGAGACAGGAAGATCCTTATCAAGGGAATATGACTAGCCCAAGTTAACAAAGAT